TAATTGAATTATACATAATTAAAGTTGTGATAAAATAATACTTTAAATACAAATTATGTATTCTAATTTTTCATCAAATTATTTAAATTATTAAATAAAATTCTTTTTAACATGAAAGTTGTAAAAAAACTAATTAAAAATTAATTTAGAGATAAAGGTAAAACATAAAAAAAAGGTTCAGTTAACATGGAAAAAATCTCCGTTTAAAGAAGAAAATAGATACAAGAAAAATAATTAATTAACTGTGAAAAAATGTGTAAGGGGTAGTGCAAAAGATAAGATTATAATTTATTACTCGTAAAAATTAACTAAACGCATTAGTTTTAACTTAATTACACATTTTGTCACAATTTTTTTATCTTACGAATTTTATTATTAAACTTTTTTTAATAAATTTTAAGGGAAGTATAAAAATTAAAGAAATGTTAACACTTTGTTAGATAGAAACAACATCAATTGTATGATAAATAAAATGTAGTTAGAGTCATAAATCGACTAGAACATGACATACTGATGTTTTTCAATGACAATGTTTTGATAGGATTATTGACCTTTTTTAAGGATTATGTATGACATTTCATTAATGCTTTAGGTAATTGAAATTGTTACCAATATGAAAACATAAATTGAGTGAAGGAAGGTTCTTCATTAGGTGAAAATAGTGAAAAGGATGAAGAAAATGGGCGACAATGTGGTGTATATGAAAGCCAAAAACAATTAATGTTCAAATATTTCCAAAAGTTAGTTGTCCAATTCAATATTTGATATGAATCTTAGAAAGTTGGTGTAATCTTAATTAACTCAAGAAAGTGTGGGGAATTTAAACAACCATGAAATAAAAGGTTTCAATGGTGGAAACAAACGGAACTCATGCTTATGTTTGTGGCCCTTATTGAAATAAAAGAAACAAAAGAGGAACAAGTAACTAATTTAAAAAGAAAATAGAGTGAGACTTAGGAAAGAAGAAGAGCATAGAACTCTTAAGACTGTCAAGGTTGAGCTTTCAAAAAGGAGAATTTTATTTCCTCTTCAAAAATAATTTTTACAAAAGGGAATGACTCTCTTTTATAATGAGTTGTCATGGTGAAGAATAGGAAATGATACCTTTCAAATTTTAGAAACACTAGGAAACTCAAATACAAACATATAAGACTACTTAAGTTAAAATTAACTCAATTGTTGGTATGTTTAACACTTAATTAACTCCTAATTAATCTTAATATAGAGATGATTCCTTAAAATTATGAAGAAACAAAAGGTAGTTTCTAAAAGTATGAAAAAGATTATGAGTAACCTTCCAAGAAGCACATGTGGTGAATGGAAAAGGATATATAAGTACATGTTGGTTTACATCAATCTCACTTTTTTTCACTTAATCAATGTAGCTTGCAAGGTTTAGCATTAGGAGTGCTAGTAAGTTGAAGTTTTTTACCATCATTTGACTTTTACATTGGTATAACTTCCTTCATCAATAATAAAGGTGTAAGTTTTGTTTTTTCATGATAAGGCATTTTACGTTTAAAAGTATTTTGACTTTAAGTTTCTTTTAAATCTTTATTATTATGTTTAAGCCTAAGCTTAATTAATAAGAAATCATCTTCAATTGAAGATAACTCCCACTTTTTATCACTTAGAGGAATAAGAAGATGAAGATGAAGATGAAAAATGTTGTAAACTTATTTCCCCGTTATCTTTCAACATCATAATTATTTTTGTTGATGCAATATTTTCATAATCCAAACATTTAAAATATTTTGTTTTACTTCTCTGTTCTTGAAAATTAGGTTTAGATGAAGAAAATGTAAGGTCTTTAATTTTATGATGTGAAGAAGAAGATTGAGGAGTTATGTGAGGGAGATAAGAGAAAGAAGACAAGAATAAAAAAAAATGAGAAGTTTTGGAATGCTTACCTTAAGATGACCTTTCCTCTTCCTTCTTATCCTTTTATGGTGAGTTTCATGTGAAATATGAAGATAATCTTGTGTTAGAATTCCTCCTCTTAAGATTTTTCACTTTCATGGTGGACAAGCTCCTCCAAAGATCTATAATGATAAAATTTAACTACATCTTGAATGTCTTGATTTGGCTCTTTCATCAACCTTGTCATGGTTGGATCTAACCCTTTATCAATCTTACAATTAACAAGGAGCATCCTCCATACTTTTGTTTTCTTGTCTCAACATTTGAATTTGAAGAATCAAATCTTTTTTTTATAATGTATGAATATAAACCTTTTTTTTCAAACAATTTTAATGCGTCACAAGTGACTATTAACATCTTCTCGTCGTCTTCAATATCAATGGATTCTACAAAAACAAGACATAGCCTTTAAAATCTAAAGAAAAAAGAAAAAAAATACTAAAAATACTTAACCATTTATAATAAAAAAGTGAACTAAACCATTTTATAGTTCCGTTTTGAAAAATTGAACCTCTAAAGTTGTAGTTCAATTAACTACTCGTTAACTTAAAACTACTTTGATGAAATGCATAGTAGCACATAGGCATATAGGTTGAAGATCGAGACGGACTAGTTTAGGTCAAAGGTCAAAACAGACTAGTTAGGTCAAAGATCGAGATGGGATGGTCTGGACCAAAGGTCAAAACGGGATTGGCTAGGCTACAATCAAAATTTGGCCAAATTCAATCACGGTCAAGATTTGGTCAAATTCGACAGAATCGACCAAGATTGAAATTTGGTCGAATTTGACCAAGTCATGTCTAACCTAAATTCGAGAGTCATCACCAATCGAAATTCGATCAAAATTGACAGAGTAAGACCTAATCCAAATTTGACTCAATCAGCCTTGGCCAAAATTCAGTCGAATTTATTTGAGTTGACGAATTTGACCATTTTTAATGCAATTTAGTACAATGTGATTTTGTTGAACATATAGTTCAGTTTAGTTTGTCTATATTCTTCAGCTCAAACAAACTATTTTTTCATTCACTAACAATTTTTAACAATTTAATTCAATACAGTTCATTTTGCTCACTCCTATTTCTCTCCTTGCACCCTCCTTTCTTGGCGGTAGAAATCATCTCTCTCATTTTCATACATGAAATAAGCTCTTGAAGGTTTTCTTCCCCTTCTTTCATTTTTTATATTTTAGATTTCAAGTCTTTCTTGCTCCAATAATTCAAGAGTTGTTTACGGGTTTCTTGTTGTCTTTCCATATTCACACTCCCTCCTTCCCGAAGTCTTTTGGGGGACTTAGACATCCTTGCAAAACTACACAAAAATAACAAAAGCAACACAAAATCTAGTGTGTGAATTGGGGGAAATTTTCCTAATCTCTCTTCTTAGTGGTTACACTCAATGTTTTAGGCTTTTCTAATAAATGTATAGTTTTTTTAAAAGGGTGGGCTGCATTCAAATCACTCAAAAGAGTACATCAAAAGTTTACTAAAATTGCTTCAAAGTTTAAATCATGAAGTACTTTCCCTAGCGTGAAATAGATACAAATCTAAAAGGAAAATGTTATTTGGACAACAAAAGTTTGACACAATTTTGACAACGGCGACGTGGCAGCTGTGCATTGGCTCAGTGAACCGGGGTGAGGGGTATTTTGGGTTTTTTCTGGTTTGTTTTCAATTCACTGAGCCAATGCACAGCTGCCACGTCGCCGTTGTCAAAATTGTGTCAAACTTTTGTTGTCCAAATAACATTTTCCAATCTAAAATATCAAAATAAATGAAAAATATTTTAAGAAACACTAATTTAATTTCTAATACGTTTTACTCATTTTATTGTTTTACATATATACATACTATTCATTTTCACTAATATAAAATATAATTTGTTTTATATATACATAAAGCCAACCAAACCAACGAGTAAATCAACCTTGTCCCAACTTCAACCTGCCAAGTTGATACATAAGATAATTAATTAGTGGGCTAAATCTACTAACTCTTTTCACCATTTTTGGCATGTTAAGTGAATAAATCCAACAGATTCAATCTGCTTCAGTACACCAGAATTATCGTCACACGTTCGACACTGATCTTAATTATTAATTGCACGGTCTATCAGCTTTGCCTGTCTGTCTATAATTTTTCATTAGAATTGGAATTGGAGTTACACTCTGATAATACGAAAATCTGCATTAAAAGATTATGCATTTTAAGATAAGAAACTCCGGCTATAATTAAATAACAAATTAATTCAAAAAGCATCTACAGAACTTCACAGAAGTTTAATCATTTGCTGTGAGCAATTTTTCCAATGGTTTAACTGCATTGAATACATAAAAGCGCCTGCACTCTTACAGACCTATTGCCATTCCTGCACAGGATTTTCATTTGCATAAAAGTAGAGATTACTATTACCGTAGAGGCAGGAGTTGAATTCCATACAGGAACCAACCTCTGCTCCTGCAACTCTCAATATTCATTCTTAAATTATTGAGTTTGATGATCAAAAGCCCTGTGTCTTATCGGGCACAGTAGGAAATTTGAAATGCATCAATAATGAGTTATCAGATATTTATCTTTTATGATATAGAAACTCACGCTTCTACTAACACGACAGACTGATTGACTTCAAACATAACGTTGTCAATTACATTGGACAGTCTCAGTGTTAATGAGATCAAGTGTAAGAAAGAGCAAGAATATTGAATCTCTGATGTCGTCATACATCTAATTAATTCCTGTTAAGTATTACAAAAGTGAAAGTTTTCTTTTTTATTTTACTTTTATGATTCACCCGTTATAATGGAAAATGCACCTTATGGCCTCTTTCTCGGCTGATCATTTGCATTAAACATAATTCTGCAAAGCAAAGGCTTAACTGAAAAGTGATTCCAGTTAGCAGATTGAACTGATGACCATAAGAATTTAAGAGGTACAGATAGCATAAATATAGTACATCTGCCATGTTTGCCCCCCCAGTTTTTTAATTCAATCAGGCCACACATTAAGTTGGGGCATATAAACATTCATTAAGACATTTGTTTCTCTTTCCTTTCTCGAATTTGGCAATTTCTGAACCAAGTAGAACCAAAACAAAGCAAGCTAATATATACAGATCAATTTTGCAGCAATGATAGAGAAAATCAATACCACCTAATTTTTACATGCAGAGCTACAGACAGAGAATCCACGTGAGAGGACGAAACATCATGGATCAATTAAAATTGCAAAAGCATATATGCTACGACAAGAACGACAAACTACAAACCTGACCCAACAATTGTACCAGTAAACAGATTGGACGGAACCGTCATTGCCCGCAAAATTGCCCATCCCGTACCTAGAAGCGCATTGCCCTTCTGAAAAGTTGCCCCTGTTCTGATCACCCTCGACGTCATGGTATAAATGCATATTTGGTTTAACTTCTTTTGAAGAAATAATCACTTGTTATTTTATCAAGGAAACTAAAAAAGACAACTATGTTCCCCAAATGAAGCTTGTTCCCAAAGCATGCAACTAAATGGTACCATAACCAGTTCCTCTGGGGTAAAAACAGTAACCTTCATTGATCTGTTGAGATGAACGGCCAAATTTACTAGCCTCCTGAGAAACACTTAGCCTGACATCTTCTAAGCCATATGCCGAACTTGTTTTGTTAGTCTGCAAGCACACACCCAACCTCAAAGACAAATCACATTCCCCGGCTCGCGACTCCTCCTCCGCAACACTTACAGCAGGTTCTTTCACAATTCTGTTCGGAGAACAATGGACTCTACCACAGTACAAGTTCCGCAACGGATCCATTCTAGATGGCTCCAAGGCTGGACTAATGACGGGTCTGCCAACAAAGATTGTATCAGAGTAAGTGTTCCCTAGGTTGTTGATCCGCAGTCGAGGCTGTTGGGCTTCAAAACCATAACACAATGGGTAAACCGAACCCAAGTTCAATGAGGGGTTACTTTGCACTGCCAAGGGTTGGTGATGGTGAACAGCAGCAAAGTTGTTCAATAAAGAGTAGTTATTTAGGCTGGTCTGGTGGCTGGAATCCGACACTGGAAAAAAGGCTAAAGCATTGCTAGAAGCAACAGATTCGGGAGAAACAGAACAAGGGTATTGTTGATTCCTCGATGTAAGGTAAGTCCTGGAGTTATTGTGCCTATCACTTCTTGATGTTCTCTCTGGGTTGCAACCAAGGTAAAGTGCAGCTAACAGAATAAAAAAAACAAAAAAAAGCGCTCAAATTTATAATTCCTATATGACACAGGCAGACTCCGAAAATTTTCAAAGGAAATGTGAGAGGAAATTTTTTGTAGCACCTTCGATACATGGTGGCATAAGCTTGCCGGTCTCGTTGGTTTCTTCTCTGCGAATGATAGTGTTGATGGCATCGTTGAGGCGGTCGAGGAGCGTGTCGGGGTTAAGGTACTCTGCCTAAGGAAAGGAAAAGAAAAAATAAAGAAAAAGATCTAAGAAAATGTGACATGCATTTGGTGGAAACAGAGAGAACAACCTCTGAATTGGCTTTGGAGTAGATGATTTCTTCGGCTCTGAGGACAACGACGGGAAGCTTCTGCTGCCACTCCTTGTTGTTCTTAGTAGAGGGAGAGTGAAACTCATTGGCGACCCTAATCGAACAGGTGAGGCGCGGTTAGGAATCGGAGGGAAGGAATAGAGCATTAAAGAGAAGAAAGAAAAAGAACCTGAAAATTTGTCGAATGAGGGAACCTCTGATGGGTTGGTGGCGGTCGCTGTGCCAAGCTCTCCTCATGCACTCGTATGGTCTTGGGCCTGGCCTGGGCATCTTGAAGAGGGTGGAAAGTGGAAAGAAAAGAAAAGAAAGAAAGGAAAATAAGCGTGTGTTTGTGTTTTTGCGTTGTGTTGTTGGTTGAGAGAACCGAGGTAATATAGTAGTTGATTCTACCTAGGTTTTGGTGCGATGTGTCTCAAACTTTAGGTCTTGCCTGTAATGGCATAGTTTTGGTCGTGTAGTAGGAGGAGGAAAGAAAGGAGAGAGCACCTTTCTCATTTTCTTTCTCTGACAAATTTAAAAGGTTAATTTGGGTTGTTATGTTTTTTCCTTTTAATTATGTTTTGTGTAGTGCCAAGGGGGGGCTCGGGGGGTCAGACCACGCCTGTTGTGAAAAGGAGACGGCTTCGGTTAACGTCAAAAGGTACCTCCTGGACATTAAACTCCATTCAAATCTCTCTCTCTCTCTCTCCTTTCACTTTAACTTAACACTATCATTTTTAACTATTTTTATTTTTATTTTATCTTTTTTATTATAGACCAAAAAACTTATTTTTCTATTTTAACAGCCTTTTTATTTCCTTTTAATACAAACATGTCAAATAATTACTCTGAATTTTCCTTTTATTGTTTCATTATCATGGCCAGCTGTGGCTCATTCGTACACCCAAAACAATACAAGATGACAAAACTTATCCAATATCAACTTAGTTATTAAAAAGTATAAAGCTAACCAAAAGGATCTGGTTTAGCTTTTCGCATATATAATCTTTACAGCTCTTTGCTTTAAATCCATTTTTTTATTTATTCATTTAATGAATGGTATATGTTGTTTCGAGATTAATTTTATATCTGAATAAACTTGTTTTGACTTTGAAATGTGTGAAATGACTCTGTTATATTCAGTTACTTAATTAAGTAAACTAAAATAACCTTTTTCGATCAAATAAATTGATACAAAGATTAATTTGATTTAAAATTGAACAAAATGCTTATAATAATAATAATTGAAGACATTAAATGAAACTAGATTTAATCTAGAAATAGTAAAAAAACTAAAATTTCTCAAAATAAAGATTGAAAAAAAGAAAAATGATTTCAGCTTCCAGCAACTAGAATATACTTTGTATACAACAATGAAACAGTGAAAAGGGAATAAGAGATTCATGTTCAACTTAATTTCAACTCCCAACACCTTTTCCTACAAATAGTTACCTTTCACTGATAGAAATTGATACTCTTCCATTAAATAAAAAACTTCTAGAAAATGATTATAAAAGAGAAACTAGGTTATTTATAAATTAAAATTAATCTATACACAGATTTAAAGAAATTATTTGAAAATTTCTACCAATTAATTTCTGCAAAAGTTAATTTTACACTTTTTCTTTTGCTAAAAACTTATATGAAAGTTCAAACATATTTAAAAATAAAAATAAATTATAATAGGCATAAATAGATAATTATATGATAACTAATCCAACATAATGTTAATACTGTACAGACATCTTTCATGTTTATTTCATTGTGTTGTAAAAATTATTTCTATCTTATATTTAGCAATAAAATTTTGTATAAATCATGTCTTTTAATACTGTCTTGAAGGATGTGCTAAAGTTATTATAGACCACCAATCATCTTAAGAGACTTCTGTATCAATTTTGGAAGGATTTTTTTTTATATAGTTCTGTGTCTTGAAGGATGTGCTAAAATTATTCTAGACCACCAATCATCCTGACACGTCTCTGTATCAACTTTGGAAAGATTATCTTCCTCATATGGTCCTGTGTTTTAAAGGATGTGCTAAAGTTATTTTAGACCATCAATCATCCTGACACGCCACTGTATCAGCTTTGGAAGGATTATCTTCCTCGTATGGTCTTGTGTCTTGAAGGATGTGCTAAAGTTATTCTAGACCACCAATCATCCTAACACGTCTTGTATCAACTTTGGAAGGATTATCTTTCTCATATGGTACTATGTTTTACTTTGTTATGAATAAAAGCTCTTTGATCTAAGTTTGTTAAGTAAAGCTAGCTATGGAGAATATGTAATGCATCTTTATATTTAGGGGTGTATAGACATGATGTTAATATTGTACAATTTGAACATCTTTTATGTTTATTTTATTGTGTTGTAGAAAATATTTCTATCTCATATTTATCAATACAATTTTGTATAAATCATGTCTTTTAATACTGTCTTAAAGGATGTGTTAAAGTTATTATAGACCATCAATCATCCTAACATGCCTCTATATCAACTTTGGAAGGATTATCTTTCTCATGATCCTATGTCTTGAAGGATGTGCTAAAGTTATTTTAGAGCATCATTCATCCTGACACGTTTCTGTATCAACTTTGTAAAGATTATCTTTCTTATATGGTCCTATGTTTTACTTTAGTATGAATAAAAACTCTCTGATTTAGGTTTGTTAGGTTAAGCAAAGAGAGGATTAGTAATTATTTTCTCATTCCACTCATATCAATTGGAAATAATTTGCAAAAGAAAAATGAATGTATGATATAGAAATGCCTTGTTTCAATTACTAATTTCTTTTAATGATTAACCTCATAAAATGAGTTTATTACATATAACAACAATTATCTGTAAAATTATTGTTTGCCTACACAAAACGATTGAAGCTGTCACTAAAAATATTTGATTTTCGATAATAATTTTATTAACAAAACCGAAGAATCATCAAAAGGAAACTTTTAATCACCAATAAAAGAAATCCCTAACTTTAATTAAAAAGGTTTTAACCGTCATTAATTTTTTTTTTTTGAGGTTCATGCCTTATGAAAATAATAAAAAAAGTAAAAGTTAATGGCAGCTTGTGTAATCAACATCGTAAAAAGAAAATTAAGAATTACCTTTTCATTTTCCACTGTAATATCTCCACAAAGATCTCACACTCACAAGTAATCAAGAAAATTTGTAGACTAAAATAAATTCAACAGTTTAGTAATAAAAATTATTTAGATATGAATGATTTATAAAGATATGTCGTTACCAATACTAATTTTATTTAATCAATAATCTCTAGAAACGAGTTCATTACACTAAAACATTTTACTTTAGTTTGGACTAACGAATGACCCTCACGTCTTCTAAATTAAGGAGTCTTCTTAATTTTAGTTTATCCTAATAACTGAACCTTTCATATCAAAGTCCATTTCCTTGTCTTTGACCTTCATCAATAATTCTTTATTATTATTTTTTATCAATAAATGATATTTTATTAATAAAGAAAGGACTTAAATTTACAACCTTTTTCACATTATTCAAATAATTCCATACTTATATTCAAATAATTTAAACTGATGAAACTCACCATAAATTGTATGATTGCATTATAAGAAATAGAAGCGATAGGATAAAAAGTAGAGTGAGAAGAAGTTGTTTTAAAGTGGAAAAAGGTAAAGTAGAGATTTTCGAAAGAAAAAGATTTAAAATAGAATATTTATTACAGATATAAGTATGGAATTATTTGAATAATGTGTGGTACAGAGAATACACATAACAAGAAGGTGATGAAGTTATGACAGAGGATCTTTACAGCTCTTTGCTTTAAATCGATTTTTGTTTATTTATTTAATGAATGGTATATGTTGTTTCGAAATTAATTTTATATCTGAATAAACTTGCATTTAACTTTGAAATGTGTGAAATGATTATGTTATATTCAGTTATTTAATTAAGTAAATTAAAATAACTTTTTTCAATCAAATAAATTGATACAAAGATTAATTTAATTTAAAATTGAACAAAATATTTATAATAATAATAATTGAAGACATTAAATGAAACTAGATTTAATCTAGAAATAGTAAACCAACTAAAATTTCTCGAAATAAAGATTGAAAAAAAGAAAAATGATTTCAACTCCCAGCAACTAGAATATACTTTGGGATTCAACAATAAAACAGAGAATAAGAGATTCATGTTCAACTTAATTTCAACCCCCAACACCTTTTCCTACAAATAGTTACCTTTCACCGATAGAAATTGGTACCTTATTATTTATCGGGTGTTGTAGATACTCTTCCATTAAATAAAAACTTCTAGAAAATGATTATAAAAGAGAATCTATGTTATTTATAAATTAAAATTAATCTATACACAGATTTAAAGAAATTATTTGAAAATTTCTACCAATTAATTTCTGCAAAAGTTAATTTTACACTTTTTCTTTTGCTAAAAACTTATATGAACATCTTTGTTCAAACATATTTAAAAATAAAAATAAATTATAATAGGCACAAATATAATTATATGATAAGTGATCCAACATAATGTTAATAGTGTACAATTTGAGACATCTTTCATGTTTGTTTTATTGTGTTGTAAAAAATATTTCTATTTCATATTTATCAATAAAATTTTGTATAAATCATGTCTTTTAATACTGTTTTGAAGGATGTGCTAAAGTTATTATACACCACCAATCATCTTAACAGACATCTGTATCAATTTTGGAAGTTGTATCAATTTTGGAAGGATTATATTTCTCATATGGTCCTATGTCTTGAAGGATGTGCTAAGGTTATTCTAGACCACCAATCATCCTCACACGCCTCTGTATCAACTTTAGAATGATTATCTTTCTCATATAATATTATGTTTTACTTTGGTATGAATAAAAGCTCTCTGAAATAAGTTTGTTATATTAAGCTAGCTATAGAGAGTATGTAATGCATCTTTATATTTAGGGGTGTATAGACATAATGTTAATATTGTACAATTTGAACATCCTTGATGTTTATTTTATTGTGTTGTGGAATATATTTCTATCTCATATTTACCAATAAAATTTTGTATAAGTCATGTCTTTTAATACTGCCTTGAAGGATGTGTTAAAGTTATTATAGACTACCAATCATCTTAACAGACTTTTCCATATGATCCTGTTTCTTGAAGGATGTGTTAAAGTTATTCTAGACCACTAATCATCCTGACACGCCTCTGTATCAACTTTAAAAGATTATCTTCCTATATAGTCCTATATTTTACTTTAGTATGAATAAAAGCTCTCTCATCTAAGTTTGTTAGGTTAAACAAAAAAGAGAGTTAATAACTTTTTTCACATTTCACCCTATTTTATTTACCTATTTTCTTTAGAAAAACCCCACACTCTTCCACTCATATCAATTGGAAATAATTTATAAAAGAAAAATAATACACGATATAGAAATGCTTGTTTCAATTACTAATTTTATTTAATGATTTTATTACGTATAACAACAATTATCAGTAAAATCATTGTTTACCTACACACAATTATTGAAGTTGTCACTAAAAATATTTGATTTTCGATATTAGTTTTATTAACAATAACCGAAGAATCATCATCAAAGGAAATTTTTAATCACCAATAAAAGAAATCTCAAACTTTAATTAAAAAGATTTTAACCGTCATTAATTTTTCTTTTGTCGTTCATGCCTTATGAAAATAATAAAAAAAAATTAAAAGTTAATGCTAGCTTGTGTAATCAACATCGTAAAAAGAAAATTATGCATTACTTTTTCATTTTCTTCCACTGTATTATCTCCACAAAGATCTCACACTCACAAGTAATCAAGAAAATTTGTAGAATAAAATAAATTAAAAGTTTAGTAATAAAAATTATTTAGATATGAATGATTTATAAAGATATGTCGTTACCAATACTAATTTTATTTCATCAATAATCTCTAGAAACGAGTTCATTACACTAAAACATTTTATTTTAGTTTGGACCAACGAAGGAGCCTCACATCTTCTAATAACTGAACCTTTCATATCAAAGTCAATTTGCTTGTCTTTGACCTTCATCGATAATTCTTTATTATTATTTTTTATCAATAAATAATATTTTATTAATAAAGAAAGGACTTAAATTTACAACCTTTTTCACATTATTTTTTAAACTGATGAAAGTAACCATAAATTGTATGATTGCATTATAAGAAATAGAAGCGATAGGATAGAAAGTAGAGTGAGAAGAAGTTGTTTTGCAGAGGAAAAAGGTAAAGTTGATTTGAAAAAGTAGAGATTTTCGAAAGAAAAAGATTTAAAATAGAGTATTTATTACAGATATAAGTATGTAATTATTTGAATAATGTGTGTGGTGCAGAGAGTACACATAACAAGAAGGTGATGAAGTTATGGCAGAGGTTGGACCACAGCTTTGATAATTTCAAGGCCTCCCTTCCATTTTCCGCTCCAGACTTCATAAAGTCCAAAATGAAGATCCGATGGGACGTCCACACGAATCTCAAGTCGTTCGTAGGGAATGACGATGTTCTGACAATGATTTAGCTTGTTTGCTTTAAACTTATATTTTCCGTTTCTACCGATTTTAGCCATCACAAGAACATCTGTGCCCTTCCATCCAAATCCATCTGCTTTAACGTTAACCTCAAATGAAACAGAATATGTCGCTGCTTTTGTTATGTTTACCACCCCGGATACCTCCAGCCATGAAACTTGTATAAGTTCCGCAGGACCGTTCCTGAAATCATTATACTTTCCTTCAACCTCTCCTCAAAATTAACCTCTATGTGTCTATCATGCTTCTTAGAAAATAACTTTAATTTCATTTTTGTAAAAAAAAATTATCTGAACATTAATATTAAATTAACGTTAATGTCTTTTAAAATTATTATGTGTTAAAATTTGAATTTGTCACCTTTTAAAATTTGAGTTATTTACGTTTTAAAATATGTTAAAATAAGAGAGATTACAAAAGAAAAGATAATTCAAATCTTAATATGTAACCTTTCTGAATAGTATTATTGTTAATTTAAGACATGGAAATATTTTTATGATGAAATATGTTTTTATTCTTTTAGTAAAAATTGAAATTAATTTTTATTCAAAATTTTAGTCTAATTTAATTTCTTAACCTTAAAAATTTGGATTTAACTATTTTAATCAAATTTTATTAAATTTATTTACCGTTTCAAATCTCTTTCTCAACTGATATTGAATAAAAAGTGTATCAAACAAAATAAACAAAACATTTGAGTTGTTTACTCCTATATTTTTTTTTCAATGTTAGTTAAGAAACATGTTTAAAAAATCTTAAATATTCTTCACAAAATTTAGTTAAAATAACTAAATTTACACAATTATAAATATTATACTAAATTAATCCAAAGTTTTGACAAAAAAACTAATTCTATTTTTTATAAAAAAGTTAATAAATCAAAATTATATTTAACCATCTTTACATTAAAAACTCAATTGACTCAATTAAATTAAAATGAATTAAAATATAAATATTATTACTAATTAAGTCTAAAAGTAAATATAACTTGAATCTTCATAATTATAAATTTAATGATAGCTTACATATTTTAAACCTCATAGTTTGGTTGAAAACATAAATGATGAAATCATAATGAAAAAAAAATTGAAAACAAAAATATTGAAAGAAGTATAATAATTATAATGGTGATTCTTAAAAAGGTTAAGTATATTTTTTATTTCTAACCTATTATGAATAATTGTATTTTATTTTTAAATTAAATTATAAGGTATTTCATCCAACTCACATAAAATTAACCCAAATACAAGACTAAATACTTTATAACATTTAGAAGAAACACAGCTTTTTAATATATATATATATAT